TGGGTGTGTGTTGAGTGAAAAGATGGCGTGCGCGTCGTGATAACGAGGTCACAGGTGTGAATTCGATGGTGTAAATATAATATGTGGTATGCCGATGTTTAGGCGCACACGCGACGAAGATAGCGGAAGAAAGAAGTATGAAATAAAGTGGTGGAAACCGGCCCCGAAGTTGAAAAGCGGTGAATTTCAACGACGGTTCCCGTGAAGGATTTCGCGTTCTACTGTAAACGATTTAGCGAACTCGAGCATTATCGACATTAATATAACACATACACACGAAAAGACAAATACGTACACGTACACACCGATTCATACGTACACAGGTACACACAAAAGCGTAAAAAAAATATAACAATTGACGAATAGCGAGTAGCGTGTGACGGTGAAAAAAAAAAAAAAAAAATTAGAGATTATTACAAAGTTTTGTAAATAACGACAGAGATATTAATAAAATGATACTTATTCAAAGGAAAACTTAAACTTGCTGTACGTACGTAGTGCATCGAAACATATATATTTATCCTATCCTATTTTTCCTACCTTTCTCTCTCTCTCTCTCTCTTTCTCTTTCTTTTTTTGTATTTTTTCCTCTCTTTTCTTCTTCAACCCTCGAGATTCGACAAAGGATTGAACACATCCGAATGGGACGCGAATTGATACGACTCTAAAAGCGCTGATCAGCAAGATTCAGCAAGTCATCAGAACAATTGCAATTGTTTTCTCTGTATTAAGTACACACATGCGCTCTATTTTTTAAAGAATTCTTTGTACGAAAATAAAAATTTATATCTATAAGAAAAAAAATATAAAATTTCCAGAAATTTTGCAAGATATTTCACAGAGAGAATATCGATTATCATTTTTAAGAAATCTATATTATTATCACCATCAACACATCATAACATTTCATCATGGATTATAATTTAATTTATATATATAAAAAGATATAATCCTCTTCAACACTGATCTTGACAAAAGCTCAACTAATTACCTTCCCTTCCTATCAGAGAAACCAATAATCGAGCTTAACAATCAACCTTTACTCTTCCTGTCCAACAAAGAGAAAATACTAAGAATGTTTCATTACATCTCTGACGATTTTTGATCATTGCCCGTTTCTCATGGCGTGGAACGAATCAGCTTCGCGACTAGCAACCATGGAAACACCCTAGCGCGAGCCCAGTGCCGCCGCGTGTTCCTGGCCTCGTAACGTCCTAACCCCCTTAGAATGCGACGGTGTAGCTACGATTATTAAGGTAAGCCGATCTCTTCGATAGGTGAAGGTTAATGCCCGGCGTACAGGTAAAGAGAGAGGAAGCAACCATCAGCAGGAGTCGGCCGGTTGTTATTGGATATTTGCCGAGGGTTTGCAGCGCCGGGACTTAACCCCACGGGGGTAGGATTCCGGCGATTTATCAAGAGCACCGTGACTAATTGCTCCTGGAAGAGAGGCTACAGGTACACACGGCATAGCGTGTAGTATACACGTGCGCGCGCGCAATTTACCGGGTCAAAAGGGAAAAGGTTGCTCGACAGAAAACTGTTTCCGACTTCTGCTGCGGAAGTGAGATTAATGAAAGCCGAGGGGAAAGCCGGCCGTATTCTTCATTCTCTTCTTTCCTTTCCTGCTCCAACATTTTCGTCATGATATTATGAAATTTCACGAATTAACGCCACCATTGACGATCATCCTTCAACAATTTTGCATTTCTTTTCCGAATGCTAAATCTTATGCAGTTTATAGTTTCTTCATCTTCTTACAAGTCTAAAGTAGAAAAGAAAGAAAGAATACGTATAAGTTGTATTAATCGTGTGAAAATCGTGTGTCGAATATATTTATTAAAATGGTCGATCATCATCTTCAAACACTTACTAGAATTATATAAATTTATTAAATACGATGTATTGCTTCGATAAATTTTATTATCTGAAAAAAAAATGAATAGGTCAATTTGAAAAAGGAAGCTAGTTTCACATCAAAATCAAAAATTTCGCTTTATGCGAATCCAAATCGCGTATAATCGCATCACATCAAAGTAGAAAAATGGGAAAATGGTCACACACGTTTCGCGCTCAATGTTGTCATCGTGCGCGTGTGCCTTTGTGTGTGTGTGTGTGTGTGTGTGTGTGTGTGTGTGTGTGTGTGTGTGTGTGTGTGTGTGTATATATATGTGTGTACGTGCGTATACCGTATGACATATGAGAGGTCCTGACAGTGACAGGCCTCTGCTTCTGGTGGTCACTCTTATACACTGGTATCCCATATCGCACCCCACACATACCTCTCTTTCTCTCGCTTCACCCGCCATTATCATATTTATTAACTGCCGCTCGACGCTTATATCTACACCTATTCGCTGCCATTCCTATATAATATAATCTGTGCCAGTGACAGCAGCACGTGGCTTCAGCCTCCATCCGCTTTCCCTCACCCCGTTAACCCTTGTCCACTAAAACCTTCAGTTGCTATCTTTCTCGTTATTATTGCTCCCTTTTCTCCCTTCTTTCAACACTAACCGCCTTTATTAGCTGGACCACGAATTTATTACTGTTTTTGATACGATTAATAAATCTTTCGAACATTTTGTTTTGTTTCCGATTATCTATTATTATATTAAATGAAAAATGTTATTAGGAATAGATATAGTGTTCGAATGATGTGATCTACAAATGTTATATTATATGTAGTAAGAAATAAAAATTAAAATTATTAAATTTATATTAACAGAATATATCATAAAATAGATACCTAGGGGATATTTTCACTCATAGTGAAATTTGTTTGAAATTTTTAGAATCGATATTTAAATTTCTATATTTAATGCTATTTCTCTGGAAATGGCACACGTAAGCTTCGTTTACGCGAATCCTTCGGTCGATTGTAAATTCATGAAGGAGAAGGAAGTCGAATGCCCCACGTTGAAACCTCGTTCATGAATACTGGGCCAACGAAAACATGGGGTTGTTTCGATCTAAGACGCGAATGCGAGGCAAGGGTGTCCTTAGCCTTGATGCTAATGTCGTCTTCCTCCCTTGTTGATAGCTGCGAAATTCTAATGCATTACAAAGGGTTGTCGAGCAAGTTCTTGGCATTCGTCATTCATAGGTTCCAATAGAAGAATTCTCTTAAAGGAATCCTCGCTAAAATACAATAGATTTTCAAACATACATTCTTTGAAATTCAATATTTCAAATATTTTATTAATACTTGTTTCTAAACGATGAAAACTTAAAAAATAAAATTTTATGAAATTTTAAGACGATACTTAAACGTGAAAAATATTAATAAGATTCAGATAATTCAAGTCAAAACTAAAATCTTGACTAAATGTAAGGCATTCAAGTTTCTCCAATGATGGACGATGGATAGAAAAACTTCTCCATTTTTTCGCGTCCCATCCAATTCTGGGTAGATATCAGTCAATCAGTCGTTTCTGCAGCGTTTCCCTGAGCACGTTATTGAATTGGAAATTTCCGGCCGGAGGACAAAGAGTCGATTTCATTTGAAATCATGCCGCGAATCTCATAGACTTCCATTCAAACAGGTAGAAATGCAGATTGCCGGCGACACAAAGCATTCCAGTCGGGATAACCGAACTGGATAACAGGTCCAGATATTGCTACTTGACTCCCTCGCCCTGCAGGTAATTGCTACGCCAGAATGCCTTTGCCATCCGTACCGTCACGGAATTTGCGATATTCCCTCGTTCACCGTACGTAAGATATATCTATATGTGCAATCAATCGCGCCACCTGAAATGGATATTTCGTCGATCCATTATTAAATCCCAATTTTGGTCAAAAATATCCAAGATTTGATAGATATTCTTACTATATATATCGAGATTCATGTTATATCATGATTGTGAAACGTTGATATTATATGTTGAAAATTATCGAAATTTATTTCAGTTATTTCTATATTTCATTCTTTCTTTATTATCTAGAAAGAAAGAATGAAATATTCATTCATGTTTTTGCAAATGTATTTTCGTGAAATTTCTGTTTTAATAATCTTTGATACTATTTTCAAATTCTAATAATTCAGTATATAAATTTGATCAAAACTTGTCACATTTCATACGTATTTTTCTCATTGATGAGAATATTAGAGAACTAATTACCAATTATGAAAATATTATATCCAGAAAGGACAGAAGAAATGATATAATGAAAAAAAAAGAATGAAAAAAGTTACATTTAATACGTCGCAATTTCAAGTCTTGGTAACTTAACGAAAAATTAAGGTTAGAAAACACCGAACAATGATTGAAAAATATCGTTGACGCTTGATGCACTCACAAGATTTGTTCTTCGTATAAGTTCGTCAAATAAGGAAGCGCACTCTGTTAAAAGAAAAGACAGAGAATATAAGAAAAAAAAAAATTGTAACGCGGTTTCTCAACAACGAAGCGTTCAATGTCGCATAAGAAATCGTTTAGCCGGCGATCGGCCGAAGAAAACTCGGCAAAGTCTACTGTCTGTGACCCGTGTCCGAACTTGCGACGTCACGATGTTACTCACACGAGAAATCAGCGACTTACATGTATATACATAGCGGATATGCGTGTGCGTTCCTGCCGAGAGCAAAAATCGCTCGTTGGAAACGGTGGGGAAACGACTCCGCCCCTAGTCGATCCTACCGACTCTGTGAACACGCCCCGTGGATACGCCCCTGAAATCCTGAAGTGAAGCTGGTTACGTGGGCGAGCTTGACCTCTAGAAGTAAATCGCTCGAAGACGATAGAAAATGTTTCTCCGTGACAGCCAGCTTTCTACCTACTGACCGAGACTTTCTTCGCGCTCTTTTCTCTCTCGATCCTTTATATCAATCGGAAAAAGCCGGCGAAAATTGATTATCGCAATCAATTGAATATCTCGTTATTATATTGCTTTAACGTTAAAATTACTTATTAATATCAAGAAATTAAAACGATCAATAAATTATTGAAAATATCAATAGATAGAAAGATTAATGTTACTTACATCGATTGGTTGATTGGTATTTGTTATTCGCTGTATCTATACTATTAATTGTACGAATATTAATTTCACCGGTACAATATTCGTTAAATCTCAATATACAAGCCACAAAATTTATTTGGTCCGTTATTAATTTTCGATTCTCGTCTATAGGAAACAAGACTCACGAATTCATATTCCCGGACACACTTAACCGACGCCCGAAAAAACAGTTGCTACGACAAAAGCTTGACGCGGCGTGTATAACGAGCACTTAAGCACTCGACAACAACGGTCGAACTCGAAAATGTCATAAGATGGCATTGTACTGGGAGGCCACTCATCGGCCCGTTGGCGTGTACACGATAGTATATTGTTTATCGAGCAGAAGGTAGCACACAGGGTGCACAGGCAACGCTTTTGTAAAAATTAAGCCCGCGCACTTTTAATACCCGACAGAAACGCATATGCCTATCGGCTATTCGCTGAATTCTCAAGAGGTTATGTTCGAACGACGAAGGAAAATCGCGAGATCAGAGGTTCCCACACACGGCGAGGCCACCAGGGGCGAACGTGCTCAGTTTTACTCGACGTTTTAGACCCACGACAGGGTGACGACATACCGGTGGCATTTGTCGCTTTCTCCATACGAACGTATCGTTATTTCCGCGAGACTGGACAATCGAAGTCAAGGAATCGACATGACGCAAGCAGGGGGCCCATTTCGCATGGGGGGTCAACCACGAAATCGAAGCGTTACGCAGGTGAAGTTCTTGTCGGTAACTGGTATGGGACATTATCGACAGGCGGGTGCCCCGCGCGGGAAACCTCACGGGGGGTCGCATCTCGTCACCTTTCTTCTTTTTGCTATCCGATTGCTCATTCGATTACTGAATCTCTGAATCTTACCGTTGTCCTTATTTTGATCATCGGATGTTCGTAATGATAAAATATATAATCAATTTTTTCGTAATATAAGATATTTGAACTTTCCTTTAAATAATAGGTTAAATTATTAATAATAGGTTAAATTATCTTAATAATTATTTTGTTTATAGATTAAATGATTTTTTATAATATTATTGTTGATTTGGCACAGAGATCAAGCATAAAATTTAAAAATAATATGATGTTTTTATTAACCAAGTAAAAAATTACAATCCCGTTTAGTCACGAAGGACGTACGCGGGTACAGAGCTAAAAGCACGTCTAGGGATCCGGGTTTCGAGGGAGGGTAGCGATCGAGCACTTGAGCACGAGCTGAGAAGAAATGCGGGGAGAACAATAGGCTAGAGGTAACCAGGAGCTGGTGCTGCGTCATCCCTGGTGTCTGAGTTTGTCTTCACCGACGCGGTAACGAGGTACACGTCAAGCAAAGAGCTCATCTTTCCGCGACCTGTCACGAAAACCGACCACCCACAATTTTTTCCAAGCACGATCGCATTATCTCACAGAATTTTCGTTGTCAATGAGTTCTAAGATAATCTGCATCACACAGCTAGTTAATTAAAAATAAATCACGTCATAGATCGAATATATTTAACTCTATACGAACACTTCACTTATGGTGTCTTTCCATGCACGTGATTGGTAAGAAAAATTGCTAGTTTCCTACATAAAATCAGAGATGGCACTTTGACACGTGTTCGAAAGAGGCACGTGTGGTGTAAAATATAGTGAATTGATATGTTGATCTCGTGATCTCTAATTTTTTTGGTGCATGGTTAACTTCCATTTTTTCGTTTCTATAGCCTGCATAAAAATTTATTCGCAGCTGCTTGATCTTTCCGCGTCGTTTCGCACCGCGCAAACGACCGTAGACACTCGGCCAATACATACTTATCAAATGCAGGCGGCATAGTCAGTACAAAACGATATGTACGAATGAGAAAAGGACAATACGGCAAATCACGCAAGACCAAGCGAGATAAGAGAGAAGAACGAAATGGGTAAGAGAGAGTGCCGTATACTTGGCTACTTGGCATTTATATCCGCCATCCATTTTGCACGCTGGTACTTCAGTCCCTATTCTTTACCTTTAGGTGCCTGTACTCATGTACGAATATACATAAATGTGTGCGCGTGCGCGTTGCATGTACACATTCACAGAGCATCCAACGTATGTCACGATATTACATGGGTTGCTGCGTTTTTACGTTGCCGGAGAGCAATGCGTACACCATGGCGGAAGTGCGTAAGAGAACGCCGACTGCCAGAGGAAAGAAAATAGAAAGAATAGAGAAGAGAAGAAGAGCAGAGAAGAAAAAAAAAGAAAAAACTAAAGAAGGGAGAGAGAACGAAGGCAGAAGAGAACTCGGATGTGCCGTGGAGCAGAGTCGTGTGAGGTGAGGGCGCACCTGGACCTTCTTCTTCATGAACGTATAAGGGCTCTCTGCCTTCCACTCCACGATTCAACCACCCAACGGACTGCCTCCAGTTACGTGTACCAAAGTTTCTCCTTTCTCTGTTTTCGCCCCTTTCTCTCTTTCGTTTGGCTCCTTTTTCTCTATTCTTTTTTCTCTTTTCCTTTTTTATCGTTGTTTTTACGTTTTCTCTTTTTCTCAACCGCACAGATCGCACGAGTGCATTGGAATCTGTATTTACCGACATAAACGCATTTTACATCAGCTTTATCGACGAGAGAACAATGCTTGATATTTTGTGAAAAAATCATATCCATTTCTTTGGTATTATACATAAAAGAAATGAGGGACAAGGATACGATATGCAAAAAGATATCAAATTTTGAACGATAATTTTGTAAATATTTAAAATTATTATAATTTCTTTTTCAATTTTTTCTTATTATTCTAATATTCAAATATTTTCAGTTTCATATCTATTCAAAAGAAAAAAATTTATAATGTAAATATTCTAAATAAAACACCGAATATATTCTTAAATTATATTATGTTTATCTTATGTTTTTCTTTAAAGGAGAAACAAGGATTTAAAAAGAAGTGAGTGAGACGAGTATTGTCCGAGCGAATTCAAGTAGAGGCAGTAGGAAATGGGAACTCGTATACCCGTATGGAAAGTACAGAGTGAACGCATTACACGCAAGCGACGACTCGTACTCGATGAAGATGTAAGGGCCGCATTGTGTCCTGCATCGTCGAGAGAAATACTCGAGAATAAAAAGAGAGAAAGAGAAAGTAGTACACATCATGTAGAGAAAGAGAGAAAGAGAGAAAGAGAGAGAGAGAAAGAGGCCGGGAACCTCTAACTACTAACGTGGGGTAGATCTCGCCGCGGATAGTGCTTTATTTCATCAAAGGGACAACAAGGAAGCCGAGATAACGCCGCAAGCTTCACAGAAAGGAGCACTTCGGAGTGGAGGAGTATGCGCGGCACGCACAACGGCTCGATCATCCATAATCGCGTGCAGACGCAATAACCAGGATGCTCGAGATGCATCCTCTGCGAAATTTCTCAAAGAGAAACGCGATATTTCATCGAAGGACATTGATAGAAGTAACTTTTATAAATTTTTAAAAAAGAATTAGAATTGTTGGAAAGTTTGATACGTTAAAAAAGATTAAATTAACGAAAGATATAATAATTATAACTGAACAAATCAATTAGAAAATTATAATAATATCCAATAGAGACATGAATGAGTTGAAAAAGTATAGTGTGAGAAGCTGGAGACTGAAAGAGTTGTTTACATTTACTCATGCGGGTTATCGGAAGTATCGACTTGGATCATCATACGATCAGAGGATTTTATGCGGGCAATGCAAATTAAATGGGTCGTGCAAAATACGATACTCTTCCCATTGTGATGTTTATCGTAAGTTCTCCGATATATGCACACCTATCATATAAATATTTTCATAGAGCTATTATATTTATTTTATATTGAATCAAATATTCCGTAACAAAAAATGATATTAAAAATTTATATTCTTTTTTATTACAGCATAAATAAATATCTTTTATTATTAACGTCAGCTAAGATCATATCGATTCCCAAAGTTTGTCTGACTAAAGAGATCGAGCGTCTCCATTTCCGATGAAACGGTTCTACAATATGGGTTCCAGATTTCAGGGTGACGATAGAGGGTTAGAGAGAGAGAGAGAGAGAGAGAGAGAGAGAGAGAGAGAGAGAGAGAGAGAGAGAGAAGGAAAGAGAACAAGAGCGTTGCTCGCTATTGTTTTCTCGAGTGGTACTCGCTGGTTCAATGCTCGCCCGCTCTGGTAGACCGGTACCAGATGTACCCGGACCGCCTGGTTTCAACTTTGATACCATACAACGCCATGCGTCACGGTTACAGCACCTAGCTTCCCAAAATTTTTTTTATTCTTCGTATCAAAAATAACACCTTACTATTGATAAAAATTGAACTTTTTGTTTTAGAAAGGATTGATTGAGAGGATTTTTGAAAATATGAAGATGTGAAAAAAATTCGTGGAAGAGAATATCGCGAATTAATTAAATTATATTTCTATACTTTTTTTTTTTTTTTTTTTTTTTCAAGTGAATACAATAAAAAAGTTTCCACGTGTGATGTGCAAGTTAATGAAAAGGATTTATATATATTCCTTTCAATTGGTTGTACACGAACGATATGTATACACGACGGATATCCGATGAAACTGAAGTCATGACAACAAGGCTATAAAATTAAGGTTAAAATTTTTTAACAAAATGAGATTATTCATCATATCGTATTATATATGACGAAATCTACTAAGGAATGAATAATGTTTGAATTAATATTCCATATTACAAACAATGATTAGATATAATCATGGTATTGTAATATCGGAATATATAATTAAACTGACTACGTCGAGAATAGATGAATAATCTTCACAAAGTTTAAAATTTTTTATGTGAACTAAATTGCATTGGCTAACAATAATCATACAAGAAAAACATTTAACATGATTACTTGAGTTTTGATTGTACAATTCAATTTATGTTAACAAGTCGCGTTCGCTTAAAGATTGTTCCTTCTATTTCTATCTGAATTTTTATAGCCAAGGTGCAATCTTCAGCGATGGTTGTTATCATACAGTTCCTTGTGAATGTGTACATTCACATTAAAGTTCATATAAAATTATACTTGATACTGCTTATGTTCCTAAGTTATAGAATAATAATTGCCATCATAGATCATATTATGCATCTATTATATCTAAAAAAAAAAAAAAAGTATAATTAATTATCCAAATGTTAAACAAGCGACAAATATTCTGTTAAAATGCAAGATTCAGAAATTTCAAAAAAAAGAAACAAAACAAATATTGGAATGAATTTAAAATATTGCACATTCATCTGTATATCTGTAAGTTCATATATAAATAATGTAGATAAAATGAACAAAAAAAAAAAAAAAGAACAATTTACTTGTTGATAGATTCCTGAATCTAAGCATAAATTCCAGAGTTCTAGATTATAAACGAAAAATCTTATAAATCTAAATTCAAGATCTGTGATGGCATTAATCAAATAGAGAAAGGTCTACGTTGACCGTCTCCATCCTCCTCCCCTACTTCCCCCACTTTCACCACTATTCCCTTGGTAGTTAGAAGAATAATTCTAAAACATCATAAGAAAAAGTGATTAATTATAAAACATGCTTTCGTCATTCTCTTAAATTATTAGATGGGAATATTCTTAAATCTTTACTATTTATATATATATATATACATATAAACAATCTTTCTCAATTAATTTTCTTAAAAATCTTTTAATTGAAATCAAATTAATTTAATTTAAATGGTGAATGAAAGAAATTTATTTTTCAAACAATAAAATTTTTCCATTAATTAATTATTCCATCATTTTTCAGGTATTACAATTAATTTTACATATCAAAATCTTACCCGTTGTTGATTATACTGCGAACCATAATTACTATATTGTGGATTTTGATAATTATTTCGCCCGTATTGCTGAACATTATAATTATTCTTTTGCTGATACTCCGGATAACGTTGGTGATAATTGTGCGGAGTGCCATATCCCCTTGCCCATGGACCAGGCACCATTGCAAGCTGGTTATGTCCACCATCGTATCCTCCTTGATAATTCGTACTTTGGTAACCTGAACAGAATCAAAATATAATCTCTTTATTTAATTACTTACTAACAATACAACAAACAATACAACGTTACTCATTACATTAATAAGAAACTATTATAAAACTATATATATTACAAAAAATTGCAGATTTCATTGAATTGAATGTCCAAAGATGTCAATCATACTCCAATTTGCCTCAGTCAATGAACCTGCTCGCCAATAGAAAAGCGACTAACCATACCGAGTAGTGGACTCGTATCGAGTATCTTCGTCCATCGACGACACGGAAGACAAAGGAGAAAACAACGTTCTCGACGAGGAGCACAATATTCGCGTAGGTGAAAGGGTCCGTGGGGAGCGTGGCGGCGCGTGTCCCATGTTCCCTCGAATAATATGTAAACGCGCGTGCACAGCCACAGCGACGGCAGACAGCCACCGAAGACAGAGGAGAAAGAGGGACCAAGTATTTGTCAGCATTGCGAAACGTCATAATGGAGGCTCGATGCTAATAACGGATTTTCGAAAGGGCAATGCGCCCGGTGTAGGCGCGTGTCTCACCCTGGCGAGTGCATCAACATACAGGAAAATCAAGCACGCACGCTACATCACGTATCCACGAGAGAAAGATGTGTATATATATATATATATATATATATGGAGCGAGAAAAAGAAAGCAAGGATAGGCCCCGATTATACACGAATCGTGTCGCTTCAACCCCCCTGTTCGCAGCAGGAAGCCGTCGAATCCTCGCGCTGTTGCACGCCCACGCAAACACGACTGCCGGGAAAAAAATTGAAGGCACACGATATAATGACGACGCTGACAAAAGAACAAAACGGTTACGAGCTCACCTCCTCTCCCCCTACTCCCCCCCTCCCTCTTTTCTAACTACCCCCGTCTTTGACTCCCGTTGAATATTTATAACTCGGTTTCGAATCGCGAGATCATGCTTTTTACGGTAGTCAAGGGGGAGTACGAAATAAGAGCGATGCCGCGAGAGTATTGAAAAAAGATGGGAAGAGAAGAAGAGGGGGGGAGAGAGGAGGAGGGGACCAACGGCCCGTTTTGTTTGATGTATCGTGACGAGTGGAAATCAATTTTAATTGAATTGATTATAAGCTACCCACTAGGGTAGGTAGGTAGGTAGGTAGGGGCGGTACACTGTCGCCGACTGAAACCACGGTGACTGTGTACCCCCATGGTCGATGGTTGCCTCGTGCAAGTACCATCTGAGCGTTTCACAACTTGGTAGAGTCGCGAAACGTTCCGATAATGAACTTCGAGGATTTCGTATTCATGTATTCCACGTGCGAGCGTCACTCGTTGTCTGCTATGAATGCATTTAACCAAGGGACCATCGATCCACTTGTTCCGTTTAGAAGATTGTTCCGAAACTGTCTATGATTAAATCGTTCAAATGGTAAATCACTTCTTTCCACGAGACGAGTTCTCTGTAAATCTTGTAAATTTACAATATTGATCCTTACATTGTATCATATTGTATATTGAAAAAGAAAAGGGGCCCGTTATCGTTATCTGCAATGCTCTTTGAATAGAACCAAGCCAATATTAATACTCTTCACCAAAGATACATTAACCTCTCGTCTTAAGAATTATATATATATATATTCAAAAAATCGAAGGTTGTAAGGGAGTTCCCCCTTTCTATACCAGAGGAGGATCTCATCCAATCTAGAGAGACTATCAGTGACGCATGATAATCGTATAGTTTGGTTCAATCGAGCTCGTAATAGGAGGCGGCAAACACCGTCAATATTATCGAGGGTTGAACGGGGTGGTCCTGTGGACTACTACTAGGCTAACAGTTACAGTAGAGAGTCCCTGCTATCTCTATTTCTAGTAGAACGGCGACCGCTTTCTCTCACTCTTTGCGGCAACAATAACATCCCCCGTGGATTTCCAGCCCCGGGAACGATGGATGGTTCGATGGATGGCCCCCACGGTAATCCTCACCCTCGCCAAAAAAGAGCCAAGGGGAGGAGGGTTTAACAGTTTACACGTCGGATCATCCCTCGTTATTGTTGCGTTTATGATAATAGCAGGCACGAACGCAGGGCACGGCTGACCGCTTCAACCCCATCCAGAGGGTCGCAATCGTTACCATGCTCAGGTATTTAATTAGACGGCTTTATGCTGAATTTCACAACGAATATTAATTTCTTTATTTCCATTCTTTCTTCTCCCTTTCTTAAGTAAGCGTAAAATCATAGGAGAGACGCTTTATTATTGCATTCTAAACTCTTTACTTTCGATTTTCCGGAAATTGTTACGAAAAAATGCTAATTCGTGAAATTTTTAATTCGTATAATTCATAATTTTGATAATTGATTACAATAAACATAACGATAAATCTCGATTATGTTTCAGGTTAAAGCTGTTAAAAATATAGGAAACGATCCTATGTTGGAATTACCGAGCAGTACAATCTCAATCTCTACAATGTTTCATCACCGATACCGTTCTCCACGCCAGAAATAAAAAGAGGATCTATGTATGGCTGGTGATTTAATTGGAAAGTCGCGGTCGCCCAGAAAAAAAATGATTTTTCGATGTTAAAATGGCGGACAATTAATTACAAAATGAAAGCTCCGCCTGCCTCGTCGCGAACCCCGCGAAATTGTATTGGAAAGCAGACGAGAGGCGGCGGGGGTGAGGGAAGAGGGAGGGAGAGAGAGAGAGAGGGAAAGAGAGGGAGATACGTTCATACGTAGATAGTATATGCGCTGTGTTGCCTATCCGCCATGGGTATTGGATTGGATTGGATCGCCGCGTCAGCAATACAAACACTCGAAGCCTCGATGTGGGTCGGCCTCTCCCGTTCCTGTTTCAAACTGAAATTACACTTTCCCGACCGACCCCGTCGTACCCCGAAACCCCCCCCTTCTTCTATCTAGCTCCATTTTCCCTTCACGTTGTAATTTTTCTCTCGTCATCAACAGCGTCGAAGATTTTACCAAAGTTCTTCATCGAATCTAACTAAACGTTAACGGTAACAACACAAGTGGAATCAGAAAATCTTACGGACATGGAGTTGAGATGAAATGATAAGACAATAGATTTTGGAATCACAATTCGACTTCAAAAATCGTAATCAAAAAATTTAAGATACATCTTGAGAGAAGAAGTGAAGAAATCTTGTGAAGAAATTTAATATTTTAATTAGCGGATGAAAATGATGGATAATTATTTTGTAAAATTTATTCTTTGTCTATGCTCAACATATTTAATAGATAATTCGAATATAAATTTTGAAGATTATTTTGATCGTAGATGGTGGTGGAATTGTAAGCTGGAGAGATAATTTTTGTGAAGAGAGGAGTCAGAAGCGACCGGTTAGCCAAGGTTTCCGTCCAAAGGATTAGAAATTAAAGGCGAGTCGGTGAATTCGAGATATAAATTTTCTCTCCAGCGGTTGAGAGTGAAAAAGACTTGTGCGACCGCGGCACGGGAATCGAAACCCTTTAGCCTCCGCTTTCCTCGAGAGGCGAGACCAACCGACTAACTCGAATGAAAAGGCACCAGTGCTGGTAAGAGACACTTCGTACACGCTCCTGCTGGCGTGTATCCGAGCACAAAAAAAGAAGAGAAAGAAAAGGAAATAGAGAAAGAGAGAAAAGAGGCGAAGAGGAAGGAGAAGACGCTTATTTAGCTTACCTTTTACTTACACGTGCTATACAATGTTTACCTACACCCACCTAAGCATATAAGACTGGAGGGACTGCTTGAGAGGAATAATGTTTGCGTAAGAAGAACGGATAGCGATTTCGATATTTAAAAAGAAAAAAGGGAAAACGTCAAGGTTGCCTTGCTGGTGACTTTCAAATCAGGATAAGATTCGAATGTTTAAAACGAATAGAATTGATAAAGCTTACTCTATTTGCGAGTAACAAGTAATATTTAATTATTATCAAAACTAAATATTGAAAAATAAAATATACAAATTTCTTTTTAGATTGAACAAAATTTTTAATGAATCCAAAAAGTTCACATCTTCGTCGCAGCATCATTTTTATTCTAAATTTCTAAAACCTCGATATCAAAGGGAAAAGGCTCTACGATTTTAGATGATACTATATCACTTGTTTCAAAAACATCTCACAAGAAGGAAAAGAGTACTAGGGAGAAATACAAAGAAAAAGAAAAAAAAAAAAGGAGAAGAAGAAAGATGGACATATTCTATCCAAATGTGGCGCAACTACCTGACGACAAGAACAATGAAAGAGCAAAGAGCGTGCGTTCCCCATCGTGGCTGGTAGCCGTGTACAAGATGGCGCCAGGCAGGCCGGAGGCCGGAGTACCACTCGGGCGATTTCCGGTGGCTTTGTTCCACGTACCACTCGTACACGGGGTGTATTCGATGAAACTCGAGGCTTAAAGGCGCGTTTTTCAGCCACGCTACCAGCTTACGTGCGTGCGCGCGAGATATAAAGAGGTTTTTCTTCTATGAAGCCAGTTAGCCAACGAACCGGTAATTCCTCCGACCGCCTTCTTCCTTCTCTCCACACGGGCTCCTCTTGCCTTCTCCCTCTTTATTCCTCTCTGTATGTGCTCCTCTCCGTAGCCCCCTTCAACTTCCTCTTTTCGCACGCTCCCGACTTCAACTTCCTCCCCTTCTTCTTCTTCTCCTTCTTCTTCGTCTTTCTCCCTACCTCTTTTTCCTCTTCCGTTCTCTCGCCGTGCTTCTTCCCTTTCTTCTCCCGCCCTTTGCTGTTTGCCCGCATTCATTCTCGCCTTTGCCAGACCCGTGGAAAAGAAGAAACGAGCCGGGTGCAACTCAAGATTTCCCCTACTCCCTGGACCGCCACCCTCTTCCTCTTTCTCTCTTAGCGTTTTCCTGTTCCTCTTTTTAGTCGCCGGTAATGGAGGCCCTCGAACGCCGGCCCTTCTAGCGCCTCGACGAGCCTGCCTCGGCGAAACGAAACGAAACGAAACGAGAGACGAGACACGTTTACCCCCACCCTCGACGAATGACTTTTACTTTCTTCCTCCATTCGTAGTT